GCGCATTGACGGGTAAAAATATGATATCATAAGCGACTGAAAACGCTGAGAGTGTACAACGGAAGATATCGCCTTCTACGGGGTGACCTCATCCTAGCGTTACAGAGTTTGAAAAATCTCGGTCATGCTTGCTGTCATCTCATGAAGCTTAGCCTCGACACAAAAATTAGGGGACAAAATTTATACTTGCCACCTAATACATTTGGCTTGAGTGCAGCCGGACTGCTGTTTTCATTCGAGTTTGTTAACCGTGGCACGCTATTTTGACTTCCGTTATTTCCGTGCCCAGGCTATCTAATTCCATATACGAATCAACCATGATTACAACAATTAAAGTACTTCCTCTAAAAATTGTTCATTTAGTGACGACAAGATGCAGACACACCTTGTGCTCACCAACTCCACGAAAACGAGATGGACGGATATACATATGTGTTATTGTGGATAATGTGGTGAGTCCGCAGATGTTTTTCTGTTTCGTGTAACTTCAATGAACTAACGTTATTCCTGCAAAGCATCCCAGGTGAACTTTACATGACTTGGCTATTTTTAACCGTATTATAACATTGTTCCATTGTTGCCCAAGAAAACTGTGGATGGTTGCGTATTACTCGAACAAAAGCATGCTGCAATTTTGCAGAAAACAAACCAGCGTTTCGGCAACGATGGATTCCAAGTCCTTTCGCAGTACAGTAATAAGAGATAATGATCAATAGTTTGAGGGCTCAGCCCTGCCTCCATCTTTATAAATCGGATTTATGACTTCAAAAGCTTACATGAAAAGAACTTGGTTCTGCTCTAAGCGGCGTTAAAAGAACTGAAGCAAGATTATCTCAGCTGCCTTGCTCTTGCTCCCAGTGCTTCTTGGTAAATGGTATCGACGTCCGGAGAGCTGTGGCTACGCAGAGTCGTCAACGGTTACAAAACAGCTTTCGCGCTATAATATATGTGGCTATGTTCCGGATGCCGAACAGCAAATACTGGCAGATCGCTTGAACGTATGATCTTGTAAAACGTGAGGTATTTTGCTTCCGCAAAAGTTGGCTACTTCTATAATCGTTCTTGTTGGATTATAAGCCGTCCTGACTGGAGACATCTCCTGCCGCACTGAACAAAGGTTATTAACATGCTTGCAAATGTTTTTATTTAAAGTCAAAAATTTTATTGTGTTCTGCTTATATGTGACTTTGTCTTCTCTGAGCAGTGGAGTTCAGTTGTTATCTTGGATAGAGTATTTATCTCAGCTATCTGCGTTTGGTAATAGCATCCAGTTGCCGGCTATGTTCTCTACGAAATAAATTATTTTAGGTTTTTGCAAAATCTTTTCTGAGACATTCGTAACCATTTAAGCAGGTTTACGGAAGAATTCACGCTATGCAACTGCAGGGGTGTCTTCGGCACCGATAAGCTGGGTTAAGCGGTTGTAGCATGTAATGGTGCGCAGCAGCTGACAGTCGTCATGACGAACTTTCACATAGCAAATGAAGCTGAAAATGATGTCCGCATGTTCACGGCAAATTAATGGACAGTCTACAGCCGACACATTAAGGAAAAGTTTATCGTAAGTAAATGCGAAACCAGAGCATAGTTGACATATTACCTATTTTGTATGGAGCAAAAATGATTACGTGATTGTAAAGCAAAGCGTCTAAAACGATTTCTTGTAGATCTGCCCTGAATTTTTTGATTCAGACATGTGTTTCTAAAACAGTGTACAATGAATTCTCCCATGCTAAATGTATGAATTTATTGATCACTTTGTATTTCCCATAACGCTTGCTAGACTACGTTCCATTTCGTTTGTCGAAGTTGAAGGTTGCGCACCAACTCTATAAGGCGAATGTTTCTGCTTTCGATTGCATGTGGCACCAGAAATAATCGTAATACTGTGAGTCGCAACCTCTTACTACCATGAGCTGTACATCATCTAGGTAATACAGATTTGTTGCTGATCCGTTTGTAATACCGTTTTTCGGATGGGTGACATGTCTGACAGCAACAATTCCGTGTACATCATTCTTGTGGGTAACCGATTCCCAGAAACATTGATGAGAACGCATAACTTGGTTACCTGGCTATCTTTCAGTCGGCCTTTTTATTGAAACAGATTTTATCGATGTTATAAATGCGGTATATAAAACTACACAGAAGGCTAAGGAAATTATTTTCGCAAAAATGTTGTTCAATATGAACGTGATCATTAATCGTTTCTTTGGTGGGAAATGACAAACTGTCCGCAGTTTAATTTATTAAATGTATGTCTCAATCCTTATCCGGACCTAATACGGTACCGCGTAAACGAGCATCCAAATGAAGTTCTTTGTGAGCGCCGGCAGATTTGTTTTCTTGCATATGAGTTCATATCTGGTCTTGGTAAAGTTTCTGCAGCTATTAACGGATGTCTAGACGGAAGACATTTCTGAATTTTCTGCCACATTCTAACCCTAATGCTGTATGCTCTAACTAAACCAGGAGTTTTAGGCTACCTAGGCCACCTTTCTAATATTTGGTGATAGCGGTCGCGCCTCAACTTTACCCAAAGCAAATGATTTAAAATTGATTTACCAATGTATTAGCTTTGTTCCAAATCCTTATTTCAGATGTCTTGTTTAGCGTGGAACGTAATCTCCGGCATATCATGGATGGCGATTGTGTGTACACAATTTTGCTTGCTGCGTATTTCGGACGTGTTTCTTTTCGACTGTTTCATGCTCTAATGGAAGTCATGATTGATGCCTATCTCCTAGCTTACACGCTATATAACACTTACTGACAGTACAACATGTTTAATATCGGTGGTGGATTCTAAGGTTTTCATAATAAATTGAGTTAACCATATTGCGTAGAGTTCGAGCGACAAAAACCCGTACTAGGTTTGCTAGCTTGGCTTTCACCTTCATCAAATTGCCCAAAGAGTTCACTGGTGTTATTTATCAGACCGCCTCCTACGCTGACCCTTGGTGGGGATCAGCTAGAAGTCGTTCAAAAATTCAACTACCTGGGAAGTTGTATCAGCGCCCGTGGGATTGAAGATGAAATCACGAATCGTATAGCAAAAGCTCGGGGCGCTGAAGGGTAGAGTGTACAATGCAGCAGTACGTTCGACCCTAGTGTACGGTTGTGAAACCTGGCCGCTTAAAGCGGCGGACCTGAAGAGGCTAGTTACGTTCGACCACCGGTGCCTTCGTAATTTAGCTCACATCTGGTGGGAACACCGCGTGAGCAACGAGCGTGTCCGACGCCTTGTTTATGGCACAGGAAAAGGAACTGAACCGCTCAGCACCGTTATTTCACGCATCAGGCTCCGGTGACTCGACCACGTGTTACGCACACCAGCCCACCGAACTTCGCGAAGTGTATTGTTCGCGCCGGGGGTGTGGAGGGAAGATGAGGGGTAGCCAAGGGATGACTTGGTCCAGAAGAATGAAGGCCCTCACTTCTGAGCTGTCCTCGGTTGGAGCGTCTCGGCTCTCTGGTTGGGGTCCGAAAGACGATGAACACGTTTAGTTGGACACACTTGTTGACATGGCAAGGAGCCGACCTCAGTGGCGTTCGTGCTGTGAGCTTCTTTGTCCCACCCCATCCATCTTAACCTCCCCCTCTAACCACGATCTCATTATTTAGCCTTATATAATTTTGTATAGTAATTTTTTGGTGCACAACAGCTGGCTGGTACCTTACCGGAACGATGCCCATCCGTTACCGGTAGCTCGGCCAGCCTGCACCAGCTGCAATTTTTTCTCCTTTTTTATGTATTGCGGCACAGTAGCTGAGGTGTTCCCCACCTCTAGCTAACGTGTATGATGATGATGATGATGATTTGTCAGACAACCTATCCTGCCTTGTGACGGCGCTGGATTTGGAGACTCTTGAGCATTTAACGGCTGGGGTGTTATTGGTGGATCCATTTTGTTGAGTTGCAAGGCCGTCGGATAGTTGATCTTTGCTTTAAGTCAAGTAATTTTGGTCCACCTTATTTGCTGTTTGTCCTTTTTAGCAGTAGTTATATCATTGGCGGCTGTAAGTATAGCAAACCGGTGAACTTTGAAGTGCTCATTGCCTACATAACTGAATTCCCTGAAGATTTAGACCTGACCGGTGAGGCATCAATTGCGAATGCAGAAGGCTCACGTTTAGCTACCCTTTGCTTGTTAAGAATACAACTTGGTAACACCATGGGAAAGTGATCGATAACAAGTTTCGGGCGGTGCCTGACATTCGTTGTCACTAATACCGCTTGAGTGTCAGAGCTCCGATCTATTTTTACCCGACATTCTGTCATAGTTGAAGGACACATTACAAAGGAGACTTTGATGCGCTTGGTGTGTGGAAGACAAATTATGCACCATTGCTTTACTTCTAAGGCAGAAAGCTCTCCTGAAGCATGCCAGCTTCCAGAAAAATTAATATAAGCGGTTATTCGCCGTTTAACATCCGCTAATACCCGACTGCAATTATGGACTAGGATAAGCATATAGTTGAAGGATACGATGGTCGAACACGCAACACAAGGTCATAATGCGCCCTGGGAACTGTTTCGATATCTTGCCTCCAGTTTGGAAAAATTTGCACACTGCAGAGAATGTCATTTGGAACCACGTAAACTGGTTAACCGAAGGTTGTCTAATACATTACAATATCCTGATCAACAAGCACCCTTCGAATGAAGCCCATTTAAATTCGCATATACTTGCTTTCTACTAGTTAACATGGTATCGTCACGTGACTAAGTGAGATAGGTAATGTTGTGTGCTTTTCCGACTTTGGTCGATTGTGCACACTGGATATATATATATATATATAAATATATATGCTATGACATATTTTGTCATTTAAAGCGTAATTTTGCTGGGCATTGTTAGAAAAGAATCAATAACGGAAGCGTACTATTAATGTGTATACGATATAGCTAATAAGAGAGTTGACAATTAAAGAATTTCCCTTCACCTTGAATTATCCAAAAAAACATGGAGTTCAAATATACCGTTTTATTACTCATATTAATCTGTAGCACTTCGGACTTTAACTTGCAAGTCAGTGATGTCGTAACCAGTTCCTGTGTTTCGTTTTTCCAAGTCCTCTTTCGTTATCGAGAATGTGTCCGCTTCATCCGTCTCGAACTGCAAGTTAAATTCCCCAATCAAATCACCCCTGCGTGGACCGGTTACAACGCAAGTGAAGTTCTTTTTGCCCGATATTATCTGGGTATTCGTCATCTTGTCATACTAGTTAACAAAATAGACCAAGTGACGTAAATATCATATTTTTGGTAGCACGTTAAATTCATTACAGGTGAAATCTTAATGCTTGACAGCTTCTGGTTTATACGGTAGCAAATGATTTTGCTTTGTCAATTTTTCGAATATTAGTGATCTTTTTGTTTAAAATCAACTTGGCTATCAGATGTGTACACTCGTGCGCCAACAATAACAAAGAATGTTGCACCTGTGTAAAAATCATCGGCATGCGAAGCCGTATTTGCTGCTTTCGGCTACCAAATTTCACCGTAACCATCAACGACCCATCAACCTACAGTACCTTCTTAATGATTTAGTCACTGAAGCCGTAGTTTTTAAATTGAACGTTAGGGTATGTATACGACCACGGAGTCCATAAGGTGTCAACAAAAGACCTGTTTTTGTTCTGCAAATTTACTTTTGTTTGCTGAACAAATGCTCGAAGTAAGCCACATTTTGCTGTCAATTTGGAGAATTTAAGCAAAATGTATGTAGGATATTATACCCGAAATCAGATTGCGGCTTCAACGACTTTGCGCATAGACGGTGTAGTATTTGCCAGTTAACGGTGCATTCACTTGCAAATGGTTATAGTGGCTCGAGTACGCTAGTTGGCCGCCACCACCTTCCAATCATCGTGAGTCACCACAATGATTACCGAAGCGAAATGTGTTTGCAATTAAACACAAAATCATTGCTTACTTTCCGGCAGGTTGTTTTCGCAATACCCATCACCTCCGTTGCACTCCCATATTCGCTGAGCCATTCTCCCGTTAAATCATCCCCGACGAATCCCATGGCAATCCAGATGACTAAATTGTTTTGAAAATATCGAGAATTCGTAAGTTACAAGCATACTAAAGGCCCCGCAAAACAGTGGATGTTGCGTTTATAATGCCATGAATACGCTTGTCTGGCAATGTTTAATGTCTAGGTGCGTGTGCACATTTGTGCGTTCACCCAGTTATTTTCCATTGGGGTTTATCATGCGTAATACCTATTTACAAACCGTTGCTAATTTGGTCAATATGTTATAGCGATAATGGGAGAATTGCTCTAGAATACGTGCGATTACGTGACAAAGCGTGACAAAAAGTGATGAGCGACCTTGAACTGCTCACTCTTGTAAATGATGTGATACGTATTGTTTGGAATTTTCGTGTCAGGTAACACGGACTAACGTCTGTCTGGTTGTGACTGCATTGGTAGCCAGTAAATCCGGAAGCAAAATTACATGGGAAAAAGTGGATTGCTTGCTTACCAATTCTGTTTAGCTATCTTTGCTTACTATATATATCCCTATGATAGAATGACTTACTTGCGTACCAGTCACCGATAACAGCCTCTGCAAACAGACAAAGTTATCAGCTTACTCGCCAAAAGAACACAAATTCAAAAGGCATATGAATTTTGACTCCGTATTGGGCCTATGTACATTGTGATTATCCCTGGTTTCCATCTACTCTAAATAGGTTACTGATTACCGCGGAATACCTGGCATATTGATAAATAAAACTGCTACTTTTGCAACGTAAGTGTTTTACGAAGATAGCTAGATTTACAGGATCCGGGAGCGCGTCAAAATATCACTACTACAAGTGGAAACGATTTACCGTATTTAGGTTGCAGCTTTATGCCCGTGATATTCGCGTGATTTCTCCTTCTTTCGCATTCCGAATGCAAGTCATTTACAAACTTGTTCAGTTCAGCATGTCCTTTATTCGCTAATTTGACAATAACGTGAGTCTGATTGAGAGGGGCACTTAATGAAGAAAAACCACATCCGACCATATCGTATGGCACTCCTATCTTGGAAGTAATTGAGGCCCGAAGCTGAAATCCAGTGGGAAATAATGCATTTTAATGGGTATTTGGATTGAACTGATTAGCCCGAACAAATTTTATCACGCATAGCCCAAACGTCCAGACATGAGATCAGTATATGTATCACAATGATGGATTAGCCTTAATGCTTAGGATGGGGTATCATCTTCGTTGTTGGGTTTGCATTGCTATGCTTATGATTTGTCCCTAGCAAAAATCTCAATGCATATCCTTTACCTTGATACAGACATCCTCAACATGTCTCGAAGCCGGATTGTCTTCCAATTCCTTTTTACTTGTAAATGATAACCTATTGCCATCCTTTAGTAGTACTCCTGTTATCATTAAAGCTGTCAGGACAAGCAGAAAGGAAGTGCCTTTTGAAAAACTGACTAATTCGTTAGGTCATTTTGCAAAAATGACTTGGCTATTTAGGCCAGCAACGTGTGCACTGGTAAGGCTGCTTTTTATGTTAAAATATTGGTTACATTTTCAAGGAAATATTGGATTAAATAATAACAGACACAACGAACGCAATGGAGAATTTATGCACAGCAGTGGGTTTCTATGGGTCAATCGGTGACACCCACTTTACTGAACTCACCATGTTGACGCACCAGTTTGCATGGCGCAAACGTAATTGCTGTTCAAATAAACAAAGAGATAGTGTCGATGCGAAGTACGTTAAAAAGTCAGTTGGCAAACAAGGTGTTTCTGAGGTACATTAAGACAGAATGCCTAACTAACTGGCCTAGACCACAATATCGGTTGCGATAACTCGGTACATCGTGAATATTATGCACTCGAATGTACATGAATATCGATCAGACTAGCAACTGTTTTGGTAGTTAGCATTTTAACGATGTTCTTGTTACGCATCTGAGCGCCGTGTACCCAGCCTGTCAGACCCAAGTCCTCAGTGGATGGAGTAGCTGATTTTAGCAAGACTGTGTGTGAGTTAGAAAAACGAAGGTGTCAAGGGCTCAGTTTAGCTTGGGCGGCGCATCAATTTAACTTGCGCATTAATCGCATGCCTATCACTTCTCAGACGAAGCAGCTATATTGAGTTTTAAATGCTAAGGAAATAGTTGTAGTTCAACGACACATATACGCGTCCGCCCACTGCACCTTTTCTCAAAGTTTCGAGCAGGGTAATGAAAAAGTGAGCAAACGCGAATTAAGAATAGCAGTTTGGTACTTATCAAATGTGATTAGATGATAACCATGGACTTCAATCTTCCGTCGCTGAATAATCAGTATCGGAGTATAAAGTGCACGATCATCACGAGACGTACCAAGTAGTAGTAAGCATTTTGACGTGAACATCACAGCGAATAGGCGATCTATCAGTGTGGTGCGCAGCTCACTTATATACTCGCCACAGAGCTTTTTCCAGACAGTGACCACTCCTAGTTGGGCGATATGTGGTCGCATAAACAAGAATTAGTTTGATATCTGTGAACCGATTGGGTAGACAATAAGCAATATTTAGTACACCCGCATGTGGAACGCCAATCGGATTGACGCTGGAGAAACTGCGAATTCTCGTGGCACTTGACGGAACATAAGGCGGTCCGTAGACAACGGGTTGGTCCAAATCAATCGCAACGGCTACACGCGCACACACACACACCAGTCATGTACTAGCTCTGTGGGGTGTGTTAAGGTCTCTGCTCTTTGGTACACCTTGCATTCTGTTGAGCAATTGATATTTATTGTTTAACATATTTCGTGGCTAACTGCCTACCGATGCCCAACGCCTGTTGTTTAGCTCACTTGGTATCTAAACGGTGAAACCCGAGTAAAATGGTTGCATATCACTTTGATGGAACAACATGGCAATGGTAATTTTAGGCATATAATACCATTAACTGACGAGTGTCTTGCGTAGGCATCCACATCGAACCCTGATCCAACACTGTGCTCTACGAAAAATTGCCACGTAATGAAATATTAGGATTTCGGAGCCTCGCTCTAAGTCATCAGAACTGGCACGTGCGAAATTTGCTAACGTCGATCTGTATCTGCTTGGCAAAACCTGCAGGTATTAACTTTCGCTGCCTTCCACAGTTTTTACACAAACGAAGCTGCACATCTCAATCAGAGATCCAAGAAACTTGACCCAGTTGCCAAATTAGCCTGTAGTCAATACAACCTCGCATTCGCATATGTTTTAGCGACAAATGTCTCATTTAATCTATCCAGTGACCTAATACATAGTACCATATGTGCGTTGTAAAGCAAGTTTTTTATTACTTAGGTTTGTGTGACCCAAAATAAGCGCCTGTGTAATGCAGTGCACAGATAATTAGTTTGGTGATATGTCTGCAGCTTTAGTTACAGGGGGTTTGTACACTTGTCGCCTAGTTATAAAGACGCGCTTGTTTCCTTACTGAGCAACATGGCTGATGTACTTTGTCATTAGATTTTGGTATCCGTTTGGATAATACCATAGTTCCATTTGGGGTTCGTTTTGGTTTGATCTTGCAGTCATAGGAGTTGCTCAATTTTCAGGAATACATCCACTCCGAAAGGAAAATTTATATTTGAGCGGTTGTGTGACGCAATAAATTGGATAGCATCCATGTTAAACCACACTGACTGACTGGTTTAGCATCCGTAATACTGTCACGAACTGCAACACTATCCAATGCGACGATTATTATCACAGTGGAACGTTAAGTGTGCTGGTGTATCGTCCTGAAACTGCATCGATCTGTTACAAGAATTTAAAATTGCTGGAGTTGACAAAGAACGTGAATCCTGACGCAGCAAGCAGTGATTAGCAGCATGAAGGACGAATTTCGGTGAATATAATTAGGAGTGTTTGGTAACTAGAATCACGAGTAAATTGACCGAAGCGAGCCTACGGTGATCTGGTAGTTGATTCAAGTACACTTGTTGGTTTGAGTGGCAAAGGCATGCTCCGTATGTTGGTCATGGGATGAAACTTTTAAAGTGTTCAAAGCAGATATTCTAGTTAAATTGATATATTATTAACTACGTGAGGCACAGCCCAGCTAAGCTGTTCCGAGCATAGTTACAAAGGAAATACAAGATGATTTTACAAAAGTGCTGTACAAATACATATATGTGTATGTATTAATTCAGTGCTATTACTTCCTTGAGCACTTTGAAAATAGCGTTGAATACACGAAAGCCAGAAGATGCAAATATTTCTAATCGCCTCCTGATTACAATTAACTATAATCGCATTGTAATTTTGTGACAAAATTTGGGTTCGACAGGACAAGATTGAGGAATTTATTCACGCTGTGGAGAACACTTGGTAGGTAGCACTGAATCAAGTTGAATGGGTTGAAAACAGACCTTTAGATTGCGAGTAAAGAGTATGTGCCGAGATGGGTTTAGAGTGCAATTGCCCAGACACTATCATCCAGTTTAATTTCGTTCTCTCCTAGACCGCCGTAACCCTTGATTAAACAAAAAATTTCCGAGTGCTACTCACGATTTGTTTTGTTGTGTCACGCTATTTCATGCCATATTCGGTTTGCAAAGACTGTCGCAATATGACTGATGAAGGCGGTCCTGCGTATGTGCAACCAGCTATTCGTAAACCTTTGGCTGCCACGAAAGTAACATTTTAAATTATGCCATTCTTTTCCGCTTATAATACTAATAATAATAATAGATTTTCCGGTTTCACCAATCGTGTCCCTTTCGGCAAGATCGATTTATGGAAGTTGTTTGCAATAATATCCACAGGAGAGTATAAATAAAATTATCAGTAATGACACTTATCTAAATGCCACAGATGGATCATTCTGATCGCGAGCCATCATTACTTACGGAACAGCGTTTTCTTGGCAATGAGGGATAAGGTGCACACGTATGGCGATTATATGATCATTAGAACTTAATTTCAAAAGCCTAGGTGATAACATATAATTTAGACAAAATCATTTCCCATATATTGTGCCATTAAAATATGCCGTGCAAGTCGGAGGTATTTG